GTTCTAAATATATTACAAGAAATTTGAATGCATCCTTTTTTTGGGGCTTGGAATTGATAACTTTAAATGTAAGCGGAGTTAAAATTATACATGAACAAGATATCACGTATACAATTTTTTTAAAGTCAAAAAAGTTAAAGAAAATTAAAATAAACAATACTTAAAAATTGTGATGTCAAATCTTCAACATCTTCAAATACACTTTATCTTGGATTTGGAGCTATGTTTAGTAACATTAAATCTTTGTTATGTCTTCTTTAAGTCTTGGTCTATTATCAGATAGAATTTTGCCACCAGCACGAAAAGAAAAATTCAATGACACAGTAGATAATAGAGATGATAGTAGATCAAGTGTTGTGATAGATACAGTTAGATATTGACACTCTTTCATTCTGCACCGCCTAAATATATCAAAAAAAATAAAAATTCTTCATTCAAAATACTAGGTATATCATGAGCAAAATACCTATCTAATTTTAACAGTATTTTGTATGATTAAATTCGTAGCATATACAATAGAAGAAGAACTACTAGATTGTTGAGTACATTTACAAGAACTAAGGTAACGCAATAAATCGTCGTCATCATGTGACAACAAACTAGCCCTTGCTAAAGGGAACCATCAAACATTCCTACGATATCTTGATGTACAACTCATTTATCTCACATAAAGATTTTTCTATAATACCATATGTAACTAGAGATCTATAAGTTAATTTATTCAAAAATTGTGGATATAATGTCTTCTATACCATCTAAATTAAACCTATGGTCCATTATTGAAGCTAACGAGAACACCATATTATTCCTCCCAATATTTTTTAAACTTAGCATCCATCACTTCTACGATATTAGAAAATGTTGAAAATATTATATACTTACTTGAATTATTAATAATATAATAAAAATGAGTGACAATGAGATGACTTTTAGTATACGCCTAGACATTCCTTCATACCATTGAAAAACTTATTGAAAAATTTAATGTGAAATGAAATTTCTCAATCATGATCTTGTAAATTAAATTGTGGACCGAGTGAGTCTCGGCTGTTGTAATGAGTAGTAATAAAATTTCAATAGTGTAGCATATGATAAGTTGAATTTCATTTATGACCTATATCTATGATAATTATTCTTGCTTTTAGTTCATTTTCTACGCATAAACCATCGAATACTAGTATCCTATTAGCGGAGATGGTAATAAAGTTTAGAGCATACCTAATTTTTTTAATTGTCCTACTATGAATTTTAATCAATCTTTTTATATTAAATTAAAATTACGACAAACAGGACATATATGAAGTATGATATAAAAAAAAATTGGGTTAAGTTGTCTCATTAAGTTTTCCAATGACTACCATGTCGATCGATTCATTGTTAAAAGTAAAACTACGAATTCTAGTTTCTCAAATAAAATTCTCTAATAATGTTCATTGAAACATTAAAAATATTTAGTCCATTATGAAAATATTCAACTACTTTCATGCAATTATTTGTTTATGCATTATACACTCTTTATTTATGCAGTGTGAAGAACGGATATGTAATGGTTATTGTTATTATCTGACTACAATCAGACGTAAATAATAAAACACGAATATTTTTTTGTTAAATCATAATCCACGCCTTTTGATTGTATAAATTAATATCATCTGAACAAAGAGTGATTATAGAATAAGATTTATTCCTTGGTTAAATATATTTTTGCATGAAGTTGGTTATATGAACGCTTTCCACTGAAAACTCACCAGTAGCTACAAACGTCATTACACTTTCGTGCATGTTCTCTTGTGAGTAGACATAGTTGTTAAGATCAGTATTAGAACTTGCACAAGGAGAACAACTAGAATTCGACGGATTTCTTTCGAACACATGTGTTCCAAACGAACTTCTCTTTGTAGTATTTACACAATGATTTGTGCTTTGATTATTTTGTCTACTTTGGCATAAATGGCAACTAATAAACATTTAGACATTTGCTTGTTTGTTTATCATTTATTTGCTCGAATCTATTGTTTGTTTTTTCATCTTCTGCAACATCATCCAAATTAATTAAATTCGTCCCTCCTTGATCATCACCCAAATCATTAGAAATTGGAATGTCATTTTGACCATGAAAATCATGATCTAGCAACGGACTAGTTTTTGGAGTATTGGACGTATCAAATAATTAGATGAATTCACCAATTTTCAACAACCTGTTTAGAATAATTTAATATTAGAATTGCACAAAAATAATTATAAATAAGCAAATTTAGAGAATAAACTTTAGATTGCACAATAAAAAAAGCAAATATGGAGACTATAACAATTTCACTATAAGAATGTAGAGATTTATGAAAAAAAAATGAAGCGATAGGGAATTTATATAGAAAAATTATGTTCGTTTATATGGCCAATTTGGACCATGGCTCATTTCAAAACGAGCTCAAATTGAGACAAGTCAAGCTCACAAACGATTTAACCAGTTTATTACCCTTATCTCATTAATATGAAACTCATCTAACATGAATGTAACTTGTACATATCAAAGAATATATATAAATTGAGTAATGATATTATAGTGATTTCACTATGTACGATAACTTTCATGGTTATAGTCAGAAAATTGTTGAAGAAAAAATATATTCTTTTGATATTCGGTTGTGCTACATGTTCACAACTGTTTACATATACATGATGTGGATATGATTGGGCATAATTTCTTTAACCAAATAAACATAAAAATAAAATTCACCACTCTCTTTTTATACCTCATCTATATGTAAGTTATTAAGTAACTCCATTATATACAAGTAACATTATTATTTGATATTAGACAAAGGGAAATTCTACACGTAGATAAGAGTATAAACCATACACCCCGGCGCATACAACTTGTACATTCTTGTTTGAATACCACTTGGTTTACATAAGAATTATGGTTGGGGTATAGGGGGTGCTGAGTGTCGACTTATGTCCTCCTTGATGTACCCCAAGAATAAACTTTTACATAATGTACAAATGGCAAGACGTGTAAAATCTTGCTAATTGTACATTATGTAAATCAAGTGGTAAACAAGAATGCGCAAGTAGCATTTCTCTTGATATTAGCCCCTTTTTGGTATGGTATCTATGAAAAATAATTTTACTTGTACATAAGGGGTTATAGAAAGTTTTACAAACAGATCAGTATCAAAAAAAGAATGAAGGAGTTTTTTTTTTTTTTTTTTTGAAAATAGAATTATGGTTGGGGTATAGGGGGTGCTGAGTGTCGACTTATGTCCTCCTTGATGTACCCCAAGAATAAACTTTTACATAATGTACAAATGGCAAGACGTGTAAAATCTTGCTAATTGTACATTATGTAAATCAAGTGGTAAACAAGAATGCGCAAGTAGCATTTCTCTTGATATTAGCCCCTTTTTGGTATGGTATCTATGAAAAATAATTTTACTTGTACATAAGGGGTTATAGAAAGTTTTACAAACAGATCAGTATCAAAAAAAGAATGAAGGAGTTTTTTTTTTTTTTTTTTGGAAGATAGTTTGATCCAATCATACATCACCACATCATGTATATATATACAAATATATAAGTTATGATGTGTACATATAGCACAACTGGTCTATAAATATCTTTTTTTCTCAAACTCATTTTTTATCGCATTTCCTCTGCATAAATAATTTTGTACTTGGACCTGTAAGTTTCTCAGGTTATTAATCATAAATTTCTGAATAATAATAATAATAAATAATTCAATAACACATTTGTTTAATTTTATCAAAATTTACTCAAAATCTTAATTTTTTTTTCTGTCAAGTCTAACTTAAGATTTTATTTATTTATTATTATTACTATTTTTTTTTTTTCTGTCAAGTCTAACTCGGGTTACTCGGCTCAATTTTCTATGTTTAAGTACATTTAGTCCCTACTGTTATTCTTCATAAAATACCACTAAACATAACGAAAAGACCAGTTGTGCTCTCATATTCATCTCGATATAAATTTTAATCAAAAAGAAACTAAAAAGTAAAGGCGTTGTCTTCTTCCTTCAACCTTCCAATTTACGACCACTTAACCTCCTCACCTCTAATAGCTGCAGCCCCATAATCACAGTCTCCATTCACACCACAACGCCTCTTTATTTTTAATTCCAAAGAATGTAAAAAAATTCTGTATCTTAACATCTTATTTTACCCAGTGTTCTCCCACATTCAATTTTTGAGGTAATATATCTTTAATTTCTATCTAAGGTGACAACTACATGAAAAAATAAAAAATAAAAGTCCGTTTATGATTAGCTTAAAGCTTAAATAGTATGATACAAGTGGTGGTTGTTGAAAGCAGCTGTCGGCCATGCCAAATCCAAAGCTTGACTATTTGAACCTTTTAAGAATTGACTAATTTTTAAAGAATTAGTTTGTTTGACACATTTTTTTTGTAAAATTATTTTTTTAAATCATTTCATATATTTTATGAAACCCATATTTTTTTTCGCTTTTCAATGATATATTTTTCGAAAATCATTTTTCACTCGAAAGAATACATGTTAAACAAGTTTCAGATATGAAAATGATGGTTGAATAGGGTTTAAAATAGAGAAAGTGTAGACAGACTGAGTTGGCAGTATTTGTTTGAGTGTTTTTTTTTTTTAATTTTTAAAACTATTCACTCATACTTTGACACGTGTCTCCCCCGCCCCGGGTTTTTAACCCCATTATTGACTCTATTTTTATAGCATTTCTCCACATAATTGTTGTGGTCGGAAGTAATTATATGTTTCCGCAACACATTATTAATTAATGTTGACTACCAACCAAATGGCAATCCTTATTCATTCTACCTATTTATACAGACACAAACCGTTTGTCACTCCTCAGCTTCTCTCTCAGCAATGAAGCAAAGTTGTGGCGCACTTGTGAGTTGGCTATTTTTAATGTTAATCATTTTTCAAGCATCTGCTCGTCTCCTACCTAAACATCAAGGTACCCCATGAGTTCTTTATCTTAAACAATATACCATCACTATTTTTTTTATTTTTTTTTTAAATTTGTGGGTTTAATTTCTATACAAACAAGCATGTTTATAATTAATTTCTTGAAGTGCCTTTATCTCGTAGTTATTGTTCGATCGAACTTCTACCAACTCATCTAAAAATCATCGAGTCAAGAAATACTAAGTCTCCCTTTGGCTAATTTATAAGTGGTCCAAACTTCATTTTCAAATATATATTTCAATGAATCTACGAGTATTATCCAATTACCCACCATTCATTTTTATGTATTTGTGAATAAAATTGTTTTTAAATTCTTCTGAATGGAGGCTAAATTTTATGACATTCAACCACCATCATTTTAGTTATCCGACAGCTTAAAAGCAACATGATTGCCCGCAACAGTAATGAAATTAATTTTTTTGCTGCTTTTCACAGGAGATCATCCAAATAGTAGGGCTAATGGAATTGCTGAAGAAGATGAAGTAATTCCCAGTGTAAGAACGTTTAGCTTCCACTTAATCGTTAATTTTTTTTATTTTTTGTTTGAAATTTCCTGTGTAATTTCGTGTATACAGTTGATGGGATTGGAGGAATGTGATGAGAAAGACGTGGCATGTCAAAATAGAAGGATGCTTGCAGATGCTCACTTGGACTACATATATACCCAACAGCATAAGCCTTAAGACATGTTTGGTTTGAGTTGGTTTGGTTGTGCTTAAGAGTTACTTTTTTCTGATCGTGCATTACTGTTAAGTATAGACGAACATTGAGCACAACCAAACATTCAAACGTCTTAGTACTGGTCTTATATGTGAATTATCGTATTTCAATTTTCTTGTCCTTGTTTAACTGTGGTCAAGAGTGCTGTGTTCTTAGTGAATTGCATGATAAGGTAAATTGTACGGTGTAGAATCTATATATTAATATTATAATAGAAAGGCAATTAAAATTACTTTTACTTTACTTCCATATTGCCTAACATTTTGTATCAAACATGTTTTTAATATTACTTAAAAAAGTAAATAAAATTTAAAAAAATGGTATTTACGATCCTCTTATATATTTCTCTCGAGAATAATTTTATATGTACATAATGGTATTCATAAGGGTATCCATAATGTATATGTGAAATTCCATGATTAGAATATTGAAAAAACTGTTTTTCTACCCTCTAATGACGTTATGCAACTTGTACATTATGAACACTAACCCTTCTCTCGACCACTGGTCCACTGCATAGCAAAACGAATCAAATAGGGACAGCACCATGTAAACGGGGTCAAATTCTAAGTGGCATTGGGAACTGGAAGACGTAGAGTTGACTTCACGGATTTCACTAAAAACAGTGACGGTTCATTCATTGAGATCATTATTTGTTAATTTGAAGTAATTTTCATTAAAATAATAAAAATATTAAAAGAAAATAAATGTGATACTCTCATAATAATAAAGTCTACTACTTGTCAATTACGACAAATCCACTCTCATGTTAGTGGATGTTAGTATGGTAACCCGATGCTATTTGATCCAGTTTGAAGAGTTTGCGATGCGACTTTTGTGGTGAAACTACAATTATGAGAATTTGTTGTGTAGCCAGTGTTTTGTACACATCTGTGATATAATGGATTTCCTCCTTCTTTGTCCTTGATTTTTTTTCGACTAAAATTTTTATATAGGGTAATTGACACAAAACGTCCCAACCTTTCGAATGTATTGTGGAAAACGTTTTTTGTGAAAAACATACCTATCTTTCATTTTTTGACATTTTTGCTCCTATTTTCACATTTCTTTGTGTCGAATGTCCTTTTCACTGTTTTTTGGGTGTAAAATGACCAATATGCCCCCTCTTTAAATAAAGGAAAAAGGAAAAGAAAAGAAAAAATTGCAACTATAAGCGAAACTTCTCGTTTGGTTGATGAATTGATGCAACTGATGGAGGGCCCATAGTTGTGACAACATTAGTTAACAATTACATGCTAGAATTGGTGGATTAAAGCCCTGTAGCATCATCAATCGAAAGGGGGATTGGCTGAGTTTCTTTGTGTATGAACTGTCGAGGCTGTTTCTACAATTTCTGGCCAAAATTGATGATGACCCATAGGTTCATTAGGTTCGCCTTGAAGAGGCGGTGTTAGAAGGAGTGGTCCGCGATCGTCGATCATGACACCGGCGACAAAAAATTTATTTGAAGTTGTCGATTTCGCTGTTGAAGAAATCGTCTGGTTCTACAATTTCTGGTTAAAATTGACGATAATCCATAGGTTCATTAGGTTCTTGAAGAGGAGTTGCTAGGAGGGGTGGTCCGCCGTCGTCGATCATGACATCGGCATCGAAAAATGGTGTTGAATTTGTCGATTTTGCTGTTGAAGTTGTATGGACAGCCTATTTTGGAGTGATTTTTAATTTCTTTAGATTTCCGGCCAGTGGTTGGGTGGGTTTGTGAAGAGGAAAGTGAGGGCTTCAAGTTGGTATGTTAGTCCGATGGCTAAGCTGACCGGAAAGTGGCTGAAAATGGCCGGCAAGTGGCAGTGCGCGTGGGGTGAGGTGTGGGAAGAAGGTTGAGTTTGGGGGGGGGCATTTGCACTTTTTTAGAAGTTTCGCCTATAATTGCAATTTTTTCTTTTCTTTTCTTCTTCCTTTGATTTAAAGAGGAGGGCATATTGATCATTTTACACCCAAAAAACAGTGAAAAGGACTTTCGATGCAAAGAAAAGTAGAAATAGGGGCAAAAATGTCAAAAAATGAAAGGTATGGATGTTTTCCACAATACACTCAAAAGGTAGGGACGTTTTGTGCCAATTACTCTTTTTACATAAATCTGTGTGATCTTGTTCTTATTTTTCTATTGTCTATTCTTATTTTTATATAAAAGTATCTCCAAAATATTCTTTAAATATAATATTCTCTATTTTAAAAAGTCAATCATTAAAATTACGCTTAAAAATATTATTTAAATTAACATTTTAAATTTAAAGAGTGTTTTTGTCTCTCCATATTTGAAGAGTCGGACTTACTCTCTATAATTAAATGCATTCAAAATATTTCAATTTTCAATATAAAAAATAATCTAGAGAAAGATAGCTAAAATAAAAGAATAAAAAAAAATAATATTTTTTTGAAAGTAATATAATTAAGTGTTAAATATAAATATTTGTTGGAGTTTTTTAAAATTTCAACTCTTTAAATTTATAGATGTTTTTCAAATGACAGAATATGCTCTTTAAAAATAGAAAGTCTCTTGAAAATGTTCTAATAGTGTACTTGTGAATCTCGTTCAATATATTTTCATCTTTATTTTTTCTTGTTGAGCCGATTAAGTGTGATGCAAGTTCATTTGCTATTTTGACTGATAATTTTTTTTTAAATAAAATTAAATTAACCTTTTCCAGAAACAAACTTTCTTAAACAAATATTTAGAAAGTAGGGAATCATATAGCCGTCACTTTTTCTCTCTAAATGCAGCTCCAGAAAAGTCTTAATTGAATGTTCATTAAAAGCCTTATTGAACTTGTAGTGAAAATAGGATCATTCAATTATTAAAACAACATAAAGTTAGTTTCAAATCAATGAATAATAATGAAATCAAATGCAATGAATGAACATAAACACTTCCCAGTCGATTTCAGCGAATTTGACACCAAAAGTGACCAAAACACACAAAGTAACACCACACGAATGGACCAAGAATCCCAATTAAGAGACCACAAAGAAGCCACCGCAGAACCTAAGCAAAAATCACACGTAGAGGCAGCAAAGGGAGGCAACGAGGAGGGGGTAAAACTGAATGAACAGGGTTAAATCCAGATCCAAGTCGCTGGCCAAGTCTTTGGCAGAGAGGGGAAATGGATCTCACAGAGGGAATCAAAATATGGGGCCAGCAACATCTCGAGTTTCTCTCTCAAAAATGGGGTTTAAGGAGTAAATTGTGTGTAGTAAGGTTAATTACAAGAATGGTTATTGAACTTTACCATATATTATTACTTAATAACTGAATTTAAAAATATATCTCAATTGTCACTAAACTATGCACAGTATTATCCATCTATCATTCAAATGGAAAAATCTGTTAAGTTCAACAAATAGTGTTGATTTGAGTGATAGATGGGTAACACGGTGCATAGTACAGTAACAATTGAAATGCATTTTTAAGTTCAGTTATGAAGTAATAACGCTTGACGAAATTTAGTGATCATTGAAATACATTTTTTAAGTACGGTTATTAAGTAGTGACAATTTTTTTCTCAAATCAACCTCTATAAAAGAAGACACTAAAGAAAATGAAGGAAAAAAGTTCTATAGTATCCATCACTATGAAAGTACGTTTGATTTTAGATCAACTGGTACCAGTTCACCATACCTCGTGCTTCGTATAAAAGGATTTAAAGAGAAACAGTAGGAACGCTAAAAGAAAATGATAGAAAAAAATTTAAAAAATACAAAAATATTTGAATTAGTGCTGATGTAACTAATGTCGATTTGATTTTTCAACTTTTTTCCCGTCATTTACTTTGATTTTTCTTTCACAAATGTTGATTTGATGAAAAAAAAAAATTATTACTATTTAATAACCGAACTTTAAAAATGTATTTCAATGGTTACTAAACTTTGCTAAACGTTACCACCTCATAACATGGTACGTAGTTCGGTGGCCATTGAAATATATTTTTTAATTAAGTTATGAAGTAATAATACTTAGCAAAGTTCAATGACTATTGAGATATATTTTTAAATTTGATTATTAAGCAGTAACATATCGCATAGTTTAATAACCATTTATGTAATTAATCCTGTGTAGTATGTCTCATGTGACAAAAGGGGGGCTATATATA